TCATGCAGTTTAGCAAGCACTTCTCCCCACGCGTGTAGAAGCATGTGTAATAGAAGTACACTGGTAAAGCAACTCTAAAACAAAGCTGACTGAAGAGCGAGAGAGATTGTGGTTCTGTTGCAATTTCTCTACTACAAACTCTCAAACTATATGAGACTGAACATGCATTTCCCAAGCAGTGGCAAAGAAATATGACTGTCACCGTTCTCTGCTACCTAACTGCATTGCTGTCCCAAGGTTTTCCAATTTATTTGAACTCACAATGACGTATGAAGGTTATTATATGCAGAATAACTTTTGCTTGTAAATCATACACAGAATTGGGGATTCCCTTCTACATCCCTGAATTAAACTGTACTTGAATCAGACAACATTTTGATTCAGGAAGACAGAAAACTATTTGCCATTGTCCACTGTGTGCCAGGAATCTAGCACAACAAAAGTGTAAAATGACAAATGAATTACAAGCCTTTTTAAACGAAATTCTCCCTTAGTTGTGAGTATGTTATACAATAGAGAATTAGACAATGAAATGTCTCTGCAGAAAGCGGGGTGTTGTATGGCTTCAGAGAGCATCTCCCTCCTGCTGCTAACTGTAACCTAGCAACAGGAGGTGTTAGAAACAGGCACCATAAGCATCAGCAATATGTCTTCGGTTACAAACAAATAGCACCGGTGGTGCAAAACCAATAGGAAAAAAAAAAAAGTTCCTTGGGTGTTTTAACCCATATGCTCTGTGTGCAGGTAAGCACACAAAAAATGCATATTGATAGATACTCTCTGCTTCTGTCGACAAACTCAGAACAGGTATTCTTCACAGTATTGCCAGACCTCATTCTGCAATGACTTGAAACTGCAAATGCTTCTCAACCTTGTAATTTATTAATGAAAGAGAGCTGGGTTTCATCAGTGAGGTTGCTCCCTCAGCAATACATGGCAGGTTCCCTCTGACATGACTCCATGAGCTGAGAAGTGATACCGCTGAGAGGCCTTTTAACAGCGTATGAATGAGATGATCACAGTGTGGTGCCAGATGTGAAAGGAACGGGAATGCAGAAGACGAGTACCTTTTACTTTTTATTTTGGGAGAAGAGGGTCTGTTTCAGGGGCAATCTGCTCACCAAAAACAATGCAGTCAGCTCTGAGAATGCATGCACTCTCTTGATTTTCATAGATGGTAATACTGGTGGTAGCAGTGGCTTGCAGACTACTACAGTGAACACTACTTAATCACTTGCTTTTAAAGGATCTTTCCTTATTCATGGCAAGGTACTTCTAAGTCTATATTTGATTAAATACTATGCCATTTTGTAAGTGCCTTGGCGTTATCCTTCCTTATATTTGTCAATCTTCCCTTTTTTATACCACCATAATTCTTCATCATCTACTAGTCTGCATTTCCCACAAGTACCCTCAATCTGCCTTTCCTTCCAAATCTTGTGCCTTTGAGATTAAACCAAGTTATATTATCCAAATTCTTCTTCAGTCCATTACAAGACTTAGTTCTAATATACTTTCCATACTCGCTTAGTAATGACAAGAGGAATTACTGCTAATAATTTTTGGCCTTATTTTCAAACTGAAAAAAAATCTTTAACTCCTGAGCAATTAATTGTGTAAGTAACCTAAGAAACTACATGTTCCTATTATACTTATCCTTACTCTTCATTATTTTGTTACTTTGAGTTGTGGTTTCATTACTGAAGTTATGTTACTTTACTCAGAGTCCTCACCTCAGCCCTAATATAGCACTACAATATCCTGTGGTAATAATGTGACTGAAGGTTAGGATGTTGGGATGCTTGGTAAGTTGAAGGGAAGAGAATGCATTCTCGTCTGTTTTGTTCTTTTTCTTCTGCTTGTAGGACGGCAGGCAAGTTAAGAGAAAGAAGGACAATTTTTAGAACGGATAGTATCAAAACCCCCAAATCTGTTTTTGTTTCTGTCAGAATAGGAAAGTATGTGGTGGAGAACTGTTTCCTGGTACTTGAGACACAGGGCAGAAGAAGCAGGTTTAATACCCAAACTCAATATTTTTAAGCAGGTTAAGTTCAACAGAATATATTAATAGGCTAGTTAAAATCCAATCCACGCTTCTTTCTTTTTTTGGCTCTCTTTTTTTTTTAAAGAAAATGTATGTGTTACCTCTGCTGCTTGCTATGAGGCTTACCTTAGATGGTCATAGAGTAAGGCAAGGAATGTGAGAGGATCTAGTTCGTTAAATTATCAGGTTACAGAATATTCAGTGTAAAAGAAATAACAAGTAACAAGGGAAGTGATAAACACACAGACACACAGACATTAACAAGCCAGTGATAAGGGAGACAATAATAAAGACCAGAACTCTTCAGCCACAGACTCATGGGCCACTAAAGGGACTGCTCATGCACAGCCTTGAAGAGGGTCACTGTCAACTTCATAACAATGAGGAAGGGGAAACCCACATGATTATCATGAGTATTATGGGTTGTGTCAGCAGGCTTGTGGGACTGTTTGAAACTCATGATGTGATATCAGAAGGGGCTTGTGGGACTGTGCAAAACTTACTGAGATGGAGAAAATGGGGGTCATTGTGGCCCAGCGAGGAAGAAGTGTGTCAAAGCGGAGAGAAGGGGAACCAAGGTGGGGTCATGTGCAACAGGCTGCCAGGCAGTATGCCTGTCTGATTGAGCCTTGCACTGATCAACATAATTTATCCTGTCTTCCTATTAAACCCTTTTCTTAACTATTTTTCTGTGTAATCTCACTGTCTATCCCACGTGTGAGTGCTGCAAGGTCTAAGTGCCAGCAACTGGTCCTTGCTGGGACAGCAAGGGGCCATAAGGCACAGGGTCGCCAGGTCTTGGTGGCACCAAGTAGGAAGACTGGGGTGTACGTGCGTGTGTGAGAGGTCAAACTGCCAGCAGCTGGGTCTGTCTGTATTACCTCAGGGAATGCAATCCTGTGCATGCGTGTGTATGTGTAATTCACTAGCAAACGTCCAGCCGGACTAACCAGTGAGGAGGCGGAGACCCACATCTGGGAAGACTCAAGGCCTGAGCCAGGGATGGATAAGGGAGTCTGGAGTTCAGACATAGATACGAGGCAGGCTGAGAGCCCATGCCGATATTTGAGGGATCTGTCGCTGTGGGGGTGCTTGTGAGATGCATGTGTGAGTGCATGCATGTCACCCGATACAAGTTTCTTGGTCTTCTGAGCTGGACCTACCTGAATACTATTGTAATGATCAGAAATAAAATGGCTGATCACTTAAGGTGACTACTGCTTAAGCCAGCATCTAGTAGGTAAATATATTTAGGAACAGAACAAAGGAATCTAATAAAACTTCATTCTCCTTCAGGGACACTGAAAATGGGAGAGGTAGTGGGAAATATTTATAGACATAAAAAATATATGTAAAATATAAAAGATCTACTGATCTGGAATTGTTGTACTGACAATCAGTATTGCTTTAATGTTTGCTATTACAAAGACTCAATAAAGTGTAATTATATGTATTACTGCAATTTAATTAGGCATGGGAATCAGATGGTACTCCTTACAGATGTCTCTCACTGTCTCAGTCTCAAATTAAGAAACACAAGCTTCGTAGCTAGCCTTTCAAAAAATCATGAGAAGTCAGAATTTAATTTCAATGCATGAATATTTTGGAAAACAGAAATCTTCTGAAGAAGTCTTCAAAAAAGCTAGCATTTGTTAAATGACTGTAGAACTATAAATTATAATGCAGGATTTGTATTTCAAGGAATATAAATGATAGTTTTTAAGAAGAGTCTGGAACTGCACCATCTGAAAGTAATTTACAAAGGCAGAGAATATGTTGCTTAAAATATACTAATGTAAAATGAAGTAATACATTTCCTCAAGGAAAAAAACACTTATTAGAAGACTTATGAAATTAGTGACCCATTCAGATATCTTTCAAGTAGGATATCAGCAGGGCCTTACCTTAATGATAACTTCTTAGCATTACTAAATTGTATTTTAAATGTACAACACAATTGTTACTCATTTAGTTATTGCAAACCCTTCTCACATACTTAAGATATTAATGCATTAACTATTATCTTTTGAAGAATAGAGACTTATTAGTGCTAGATATACTAAAAAAAAGAAGCATCTTAAGTATTTGCTGTGTTTTAAATAGAGCAAATAATACTTATTTAATTGTTAAAGGTTTGGGGTTTTTTTGCTTGTACACTTCTGCATTTCAGCTGATTATAGACGTGTAAGTCCCAAATGAGATTGTAATGAGATCATTCTGTTATGATTTCTATCATGAATCACGTGAAGAGCTTTTGGAAATCTCATGAGAACTGTTTTCCTAACCCATCTTTCTGTTTAGAGTCCTTCACTTCTGCCACTGCGCAAGAACTTTAACATTTCTAAAGATATGCAGACATCCTCTGATTCTCACTGAGTATCTCTACCGGTTTAGCAAATTCAAGGATTTTTAACTATCACGGAAGCCAACAGACAAGTATTTCTATTTTGAAATCTTTTTGCTAAACCAACCCGAATGTCAAAATTTTGGGAAGTTATGCATTGCAATTATTCTTATGTTCTGTATCTATTTATAATAGTTACTTTCTGAAGAAACATCTCTACAGAGGTAACTATACTATTTTATAGGTGTGTAAACACGTAGCCTCCTTTTCCTGTCAGATGCAATCAACTATTTTGAAGTGTGACGTGTATATTTCTAATCCTATTATTGAAAAGGAGCTCAGTGCAGAACTACTAGAGACAGTGTCTTTTCAGGTGCAAAAGAAAAAAAAAGTCTCTTTGGATCTGCGCTATAATAGAACATTTCAAATTCTGATATTATTAAACCATAACAGCTTCTCAAATTTGTCTAATTAAAAATATAAAAAAAGAAGAGACCCTGTAGAACAAAAAAGATAAGCAGCAATTTGTCTCAGTTAAAAGGATGTATTTCAGGCTATTATCTGTCACATTACTACTGCTAAATATGCTTAAATATTCTCCAACACACTCACCTCTTTTTGACGGTACTTAATTGCCAGTTTCAATCTTGCAAGATCGTTACCACTTTGTTCTTCTATCAAGCTATTATCATCTCTGTAATTAAGAATAATTTCCAATTCCCTGGAACTCCGTGTCTGATCCAGAAGATCTTTTGCAAATTGCTTGCATTGCCGCGACAGTTCCTCATACTCCGACTTAAATTCATTTTCTACTTTACTCAGTTCCTGCAGCTCCCAACTCAGCTGAAAAGCAGTAAGGAAAGGATCCTCGCTGGACAAAGCAATCAAGGACGGGCTTGCCAGAGCCTTGTAGATATTGAGCCTGGATCGAGAATGGCGAAGGCTGTCCACATCTGAACTTGAGACACATTCAACGCAGTTGCAGCGGACCTCGTGTGGCCGCGGTACAGAGACCCCTTTCTGCACAAGGAGCTTTATGATTTCATAGTTGTTTGTGTGGGCAGCCAGAATAATGGGTGTGATATCTGGTGTAAATTCCGAGAACTGCTTGTCCAGAAGTATTGGCGGCACCTGTAAGACAAGGCAAAAACGCTTACAAACCGCTTAATTGAAGGACAGCTACAGAAAATTAAGCTAAAAGTTTATCATCTTTTACCCTTATGGATAGATCTTGCTTCTGGCCAGAGTTGACGGAAATACTTCAAAAATAACAATTTGATTAGTTAATATAGCCTCTTTCCAATTAATAAATTGTTGTAAACAGGATGTGATTTTTCATAAAACCTGTTTGTACATAAACAGCCCATGGGCAACAATTTGTTAGAGCAAATTATTAGCTACGCAAAGAACAGTCAGACACAAATGTTCAGATCTGGTCCCCTGAATTACCAGCTGTAAGCAAGATGGAATTGTTTTCTGTTCTCTGAGTGGTTAATCAAAGTTTTAAAAAGAAGGGAGAATCATGGAGACATAACTGTGATTCTAAGCTAGAGTTATAAAATAAAATGGCAAAGTAAATGAGAAAGAAAAGACACATTTTCTTAAGGAGATGATCTGAAACATGATTGCATAGAGAAAGTTACCCATTGCAAGGATCCTACAATCTTAAGGCTTAGTTGTACATTCACATGTGCACTTCTACATACTCATTTTTAAGAAAACCGGAGAGTTAGTAGCACAGAGCTCCAAGAGACAAAAAAGTAGAAGACAATTTTTAAAACTTCTTCTGGTGTGTATTTCTGTATTTTCAATATTCTGATGTGTTTCTAGATTTTATAACAAAGGACTGTAAGTTCTTTCATTTAAAGCTTATTTCTGTATTTTACAATATCATAGTCTAAAGTCTTTCCCAGATCAAGATAGCTCATTAGACTAGTACGATGAAGCCATACAAGTTTAATTAGCCAGTGTCGATCAGCGAAGTGGTACTGGCAGCACCGCTTATAGTCACTTTTGAGTCATAGTGTGATAACCTGCAAACTCAATCTACCTCAGCTAGAAAAAGCTCTAGTTATATAGTGAAATAATTTATCTCCTCAGTCATTATATACTAATTTGATTCTTCAGTTTGCAACAGTTTTCCTTCCTTATCATCCCATTATATAATCTAAAACATTTCTCTTTTATTTCTCAAATTTAGCTTAACTTCAGGACTTGTTTGCTTTTTCATTCTATTCTCTACCGTGTCATGTAGTTGAGGCAGTAGCCTGACAAACACAAGATCCATTTCTCAGTTTTCCGATCTGAAAGTGATTATTTTCAACACGATATGCAGAGTCCACAAAAAACACTTGAAAGCATTACCAGCTGATGCTGAAGACGAAGGGATTTCTTTGTGCTTCTCTGCACACTACCAAGATTCAAACACCAGAGCTTATCTAGCGGTTGTACAGTACAGATTGGTATAATGATAGACAGGAGAGGACTGCTTGGTTTTTACAGATTTGCAGTGCTGTTAGGAAAGGATGTGGTATTTTTATCATTAAACTCAGCACAGTGAGAGCAGCTCTTCACAGTACTATCACTCTGGTTTTGCAACCATTTTGGAAGTAGCTGCACAGTGCGACTGTTTTGTTATGCTACAAGAAACCAGCTAGATGTTTTTGAGTGATGCTCCTTCAAGAGGCAAAAAGAGAAAACACTCGGCTATAATGTTGTCCAGAGCCTAGGGAAATACAGGAGCACTGGAGGGACAAAAGGATATCTGAAAGAAGTCTTATAGCAACAGAATGGCCTCCTTGCCAGGTGAAAAAAAACACAAATAGCAAGAAGAAAAGTTAGTAAGAAACAGGTAAAGTATATGGGAAGACTAAAGTCAGAATGAGTTGGAGCAATGTTTAGAGTCTTGGAGGGAAAGAAGTAGAGGAAAAAATCAAATGCACAGAATCAGGCATAAACTCAGGGGAAAATAAAATCAGTGAAATTAAATGGAGAAGAAATGGTAAAAAATTGATCTAAAAAGTTGAGAGCCTATGCGTAAGGATTAAAGGGCAGGCTAACATGGGTGACACTGTTGTGGGGGTCTACTACAGGCCACCTGATCAGGAGGAAGTCATCGATGAGGCCTTCTACCGACAGCTGGAAGTAGCCTCACGATCACAGGCCCTGGTTCTCATGGGAGACTTCAACCACCCTGACATCTGTTGGCAAGACAGCACAGCTAGGCACAAACAGTCAAAGAGGTTCCTGCAGAGCACTGAGGATAATTTCTTGACTCAGGTGGTGGAGACGCCAACGAGGAGAGGTGCAATGCTAGACCTTGTACTAACGAACAAAGAAAGTCTAGTTGGAGATGTGAAGGTTGGGGGCAGCCTTGGCTGCAGTGACCATGAGATGGTGGAGTTCAGGATCCTGCGAGGAGGGAGCAGGGCAAGGAGTAGGATTGCAACGCTGGACTTCAGGAGAGCTGACTTTGGCCTCTTCAGGGACCTACTTAGGGGAATCTCATGGGGTAAGGAAGGAAGAGGGGTCCAAGAAAGCTGGTTAATATTCAAGCGTCACTTCCTCCAGGCTCAGGATCAGTGCATCCCTCTGAGGAAGAAGTCCAGCAAAGCGGGCAGGAGACCTGCATGGATGAGCAAGGAACTCCTGGCCAAACTCCAGCAGAAGAAGGAAGTGTACAGAATGTGGAAAAGGGGACAGGCCACTTGGGAGGAATACAGGGACGTTGTCAGAGCGTGCAGGGATGCGACAAGGAAGGCTAAGGCCCAGTTGGAATTAAATCTGGCAAGGGATGTCAAGGACAACAAGAAGGCCTTCTTCAAATACATCAATAGCAAAAGGAAGACTAGGGAAAACGTGGGCCCGCTGCTGAAAGGGGCGGGTGCCCTGGTGACAAAGGATACAGAGAAGGCAGAGTTATTGAATGCCTTCTTTGCTTCTGTCTTCACTGCTAAGGCCAGTCCTGAGGAATTCCAGACCTTGGAGACAAGAGAGGAAGGCTGGAGAAAGGAAGACTCTCCCTTGGTTGAGGAGGATCGGGTTAGAGATCTTTTGTCCAAACTTGACATCCACAAATCCATGGGCCCCGATGGGATGCACCCACGAGTGCTGAGGGAGCTGGCGGATGTTATCGCTAGGCCTCTCTCCATCATCTTTGAAAGGTCCTGGAGATCAGGAGAGGTGCCTGAGGACTGGAAGAAAGCCAATGTCACGCCAGTCTTCAAAAAGGGCAAGAAGGAGGAGCCAGGAAACTACAGGCCTGTCAGCCTCACCTCCATCCCGGGAAAGGTGATGGAACAGCTCATCCTGGAGGTCATCACTAAGCATCTGGAGGACAAGAAGGTGATCAGGAGTAGTCAGCATGGATTCACCAAAGGGAAATCATGCTTGACCAATCTGATAGCCTTCTATGACAGAATGACTGGCTGGGTAGATGAGGGCAGAGCAGTGGATGTTGTCTTTCTGGACTTCAGCAAGGCTTTTGACACTGTCTCCCATCACATCCTCCTAGGTAAGCTCAGGAAGTGTGGGCTAGATGAGTGGACGGTGAGGTGGCTTGAGAACTGGCTGGATGGCCGAGCTCAGAGGGTTGTGGTGAATGGCGCAGAGTCAAGTTGGAGGCCTGTGGCTAGTGGTGTCCCCCAGGGGTCAGTCCTGGGCCCAGTCTTGTTCAATATATTCATCAATGACCTGGAGGAAGGGACAGAGTGCACCCTCAGCAAGTTGGCTGATGATACTAAACTGGGGGGAGAGGCTAACACACCAGAAGACTGTGCTGCCATTCAGAGGGACCTGGACAGGCTGGAGAGGTGGGCGGAGAGGAACCTCATGAAGTTCAACAAAGGCAAGTGCAAGGTCCTGCACCTAGGCAGGAATAATCCCATGCACCAGTACAGGCTGGGGACTGACCTGTTGGAAAGTAGCTCTGCCGAGAAGGACCTGGGAGTGCTGGTGGACAACAAGTTAAACCAGTACAAGAGACACATGGCCCTACTGGAGAGAGTCCAGCGGAGGGCTACCAAGATGATTAGAGGGCTGGAGCACCTCTCCTCTGAAGAAAGACTGCAAGAGCTGGGCCTGTTGAGCCTGGAGAAGAGAAGATTGAGAGGGGATCTCATCAACGTGTACAAGTATCTGAAGGGGGAGTGTCAAGAGGATGAGGCCAGCCTCTTCTCTGTGGTGCCCAGCAACAGGACAAGAGGCAACGGGCAGAAACTGAACCACAGGCAGTTCCATCTGAACCTGAGGAAAAACTTCTTCACTGTGAGGGTGGCAGAGCATTGGAACAGGTTGCCCAGAGAGGTAGTGGAGTCTCCTTCCCCGGAGATATTCAAAACCTGTCTGGATGTGATCCTGGGCAATATGCTCTAGGTGACCCTGCTTGAGCAGGGAGGTTGGACTAGATGATCTCCAGAGGTCCCTTCCTACCTAAACGATTCTGTGATTCTGTGATTCTGTAAAAATGGATATTTTTCTCTCTCTAATGGAGATACATTGTGTATTTTGTACATTTTTTAGCTCTTCTACATGTAAAACAACTCATGTTCCTTGAATGGGACTGCTTCCATGTGTAAGAGCTGCTATGCATGCAGGCTGTAAAACAGGGGCTTAGAGCACTAGTTAGCTGAATGAAGGAATTACTTTGGCATTACTTTTGGCACTTATTCATGCAAAATGCAGTGGAAAATCAAGACTGTAGATACAGCCTTCAGGTGTATAATCACACCTCATTAGGGAAAATATTCTCTGACCGGCCATAGCATATTGCTGACCTGGAATAGCTGTACCAGATTCTGAGAAGATGTGTGGAGTCAATAGGAAAAATCCCCTTCTCCCTTCCTATGCACACAAACATGCACACTTGGCTTTGCAGTAATGGTAAAGACTGGCGCAGAGTCTATTTTTCAGCAGGGACGTCTGAGCTAGCCCATCCACCCTCACAGCTGCACGCAGACAGAGCTACTGGACGTTATTAGCCTTCTTCACCGTCCTCCCTATAGACTAATGAGGGATGCTTAGAATTGATGATTGTGAGCTGAGCAGCTCCTGAGCAAATTCTCTTTTGCTTTCCGCTTTCTTATTCCAAAGCAGAAATGAAAAGTAATGTCTTTAGGTAGTCTGTGCAGGCA